GCATTTATTTATTATAATTTTATTACATACATATGGAAAATACTGCTGGACTGAACGAAGGTTCAGGTAAAATGCAATGAGAGATCTAATAGAGATATTCTCTAGAAATGTTATTTCAACTCTATAGCCTGCCACACTTCGAGACCCTTTATTATTTATAACGTGTTTCGTCTTTATTCTTTAACCACAAACTTATCTTTCAAAATACTTTTCGTCTAAATAAAGATCTGAACAACGAAAAATCTAAAAAATGCATTCAATCGTATCGCTCTCTCAGCTTATCAAACTGTGTACATTACGAGTCTACAAATTTCAGCTCCGTGGTAAGCTCCACCGATTAAGGCAGGATTCTACTTTGTAATTTTTTTTTTTTCAAATTTTTTTTTTTTCGATTATTCGTAAGTAAATATATCTAAGAATACTCTCTGAAAATTTCAAAACGATTAGAGCATCCTAACTGTACTTTTTCGTCCCTCGAATCTACCCGTGCGCGGGTAAAAAAAGTATTTAAAAAAACTTTAAATGCGTTTTTCTCGGAATCACATTTTTGAACCGCGCGTTGTAAAAATCTCCAAAACTAGCTATTCCATTCGTCTAAAATTTTTACCACATAATCTATACACATATATCAACCTGTGGTAGCAGATTTATAAAAAAATTTTTATTTTAACTATTTTTTTTTGACAAAAATGAGAAAAAAAAAGAGATTTTTTCATAATTTTTTTTCAACTGACGCCATTTTGTTATTTTTGCTTGTAAATGAAAAAATCTCCTACCATCTTTTGCTGTAGTCTTTGTGAACATAGAACTATTCGAGGTTTTTATTTCAGATAATCCGATGTCAAGATTTTTACAACACCGCAAAGGCTAGACTATTTTTAGGCGTTCAGTTCAAGGGCCTTTCCAATGTATATAGAGCGTATAAAATAAATTAAAAAAATTTTTTAATGTACTTTAAGTGTATATTTATGAAGCACAACAAACCCTACATCAATATCTTTCTTAGTTTTCTAATAAAAAATTGACAAAAATACCTATTTTTTCGAGCGACTAAAGTAGAATCCTGCCTTAACGCTGGGCGTTCAACAGCTTAAAAATGTTTTTATTTGATTAAAAAATTACCGCAAATTTCTTTATAACATAAATATTAAAATTAATAATATAATTTTTTTGTATTCCTGGGTCAAAACAAATTTTTGTATATTTTTTATAAAAACATAAAAATCAAATTTAATATACACATCTTAATCTTAATGAATCGAATATATTTTATGAAGAAGGAAAATAAAAATGTGACTGTAATTTACTTGCTTTTGAATGGAGTTTGTTTGCTGTTTCTAATGTATTCTACAGTGTTGTCTAAATCTTTTTCTCTCATGTATCTTCTAATATTTTTTTTTTGTAATATATTGCAGACAATAAAATTATTATATTCTATATATTTCGTAATTGTTAATTACAATATTTGCGAAATAAATAATTTAATGTTAATTTTTCAATAAAAAAGAAACATTTTTAAATAGAGAATAAATGACACGTTTGGTAAAATAAAAACAGACCACGCACCTTCTTTCTTTATTTCGACCGTCGTTTCGTTTGGATCTTATACTTTTGTCGCATACCTACGTGCTTATCCCTGTTTATTCTTCTACCCTTTTATTACTCCTACCTACAAACATTTCGAGTATCGAATGAATACGTGTCCACGCTTTGTAGTATGCAGTCGCACACAAACATACACATATACAACCAGGAGCGATAACTACGAATCATAGCATAAAGAAAGAGACCGAGAATAGGAAAAACTGTATAGCTATATTCAGGTATTCAGTCTCATTCTCTCGCAGGCTAAATCCTATATGTTTGTCTCTTTTTCTCTCATTATTTAGTATAGCAGCCGTTTTATAGCTTCGTTTCCGTTTATTTACTTTTCAGATCACTCCCATTCTAAAGAAGTTTTCATTTCGAAAACTAAAAAATTGCTGGATAGTCGGATACTCGTTGGTATCTATCTGTTTGTTCCATTCTTGTAGCATGTCAGGGGGTAACGCGCGTTCAGCGAGGCGTACTCGCCAGGCCACTGAACTGTCATCAAATATCTCAAGCGTGGAGATGTGAGAACGCAGTTCGTTCAAAAACGCTGTTATGTCCTTCGCTGATCTGGTTTTTGGTCGAGGTATGTCGATTAACGCGTCGATTGCCCGAGCTAATAGTATACGTTGTACGTCAAATGCTTTCAGTAAGGCCCCTCACGCATCCTTATATTTTTCCCCGGTTAATTGATAGTGTTCGATCGTTCAAAGGGCCTCGCCGCGAAGGTAGTCGCGGAGGTATACGTGCTTTTCTAAGTCCGACACGTCACTGCGCGCGTCCATGAGGGTTAAGAAGCTAGATTTAAATGGGATCCATTTCGCTATATTCCTGTCGAATCGCAGGATCTAGAGACGCCGTAATTGTATTTGTTGATCGCGAGTCTTCGTAGTATCGTTGCTTCCGTTAGAGTTATTAGGTTTGTTAACTGCGGCGGTGTCGCTCGAATGAATTTTGTCTCCGATCACGTGGTATCTATCTATAAGCTAGTCTAAATCGTCAACTCCTACATATCCGACGTTATTATTACCACACTTTCATGCAATGATTCGTAGTCATCTACTTGCTTGGTAAAACGTTCGTAACGCCTTCTTAATTCGTTTATACTTAACCTCCCTTCTTCAATTAAAGTCTCAAGGTGCGCTAACCGTAATCCTAAATTCTGCCGCTTTTGATCGAGTTGTTTTTGCGATGTTATTATGTACCGGTATCGAATATATTATTCTGCGAAAGCTACTCAAGTCAATGTATAGCAAATATAAAAATCTTTTTTGTACAAATGAATTGCCGTGCGTTAAGTCCTCGATCACGCGGGTACGGCCCTGATCAATGAGATTTAAATTTTAATCAATAAGTTAGGAACGTGTGAATATTTTATGCACGTTAAAATAATAAATTCGAAAAAACCATTCTACTATAATGTCGTCCGATAAAGTCAGTACTAGAAGAACCCAATGTCGGTATTACCGACACCCACTTTTCGACTGACCTAGTTACCGAGCGATATTGTCGGTAAAGCAGATCCCTCTATGAACTTCGGGATTAAAATAATTTGAGTCTAATATTTTGGTATATTCTGCTATCTCTACTAATAAAAATTCCTGTTATTTAAAGTAGATAAAATTTTAAGCTAAATGTTAAATGAAAAGTGTACATTTTTCAGTAATTCAAAGTTTGTTCGCAGATTTACTGCATAATAGAAAAATTTTTTAGTCTACAAAAATCCGATGTCGTAATCCTCAAAATATTTTGTTTTCTTAATATACAAATGTTTCTTATGATACAAAATAAATTAAATTACATTAATTATGTTTAAAATTTATTTAATTTTCGCAGATAATAAATTTTTGTTTGTTGCTTGACTGCATTAATGAGAAGTTTTTAGGATTACAAAAATCTGAGTCTATAATGTTGCATTATTCTTTATCTTTACTAAAAAAAATTCGTGTGATTTAAAGTCGATAATATTACAAGCTAAATGCTAGATTAAAATTGTACAATTTTTCAAAACTCTATAATTTGTTTATTATAAATGTATTTATTTTCGCAGATAATAAATTTTTGTTTCTTGCTTGACTGCATTAAAGAAAAATTTTAAGGTTTACAAGAATTTGATGCTAATATGTTTGTAATTTTTCGTATCTTTACTAAAAAAATCCTTTTACTTACATTCAATAAAGTTACAAGCTAAATTTTACCTCAAAATTTTACATTTTTTAGTAATCCAAAGTTTGTTTGCAGATAAAATGCATCATAGAAAAATTTGTCAGTCAAAAAAATCCGATTTCATAATGTTTAAAGTTTGTTCTAGAATAAAAATAAAAAAAAAATTAAAGGGACGAAATATTAAAGAGACGCGGATTGAGTAGTCGGAGAACAGTCAGTCAGCTGTTAATCAATGAGATTTAAATTTTAATCAATAAGTTTTCGGTTGCTAAGATGTTAGTTGCTAATCAATAAAACGTTAGTTGTTTATGAATGAATTGAGATGTTAAGAAAAAAAAAAGATCGTAATCAGCTGTTTAGTTGTTTTCATATGCAAAACCATTCTAGTCGATATCGGTTGTGAAAAAGCTGTTCTCTACATTAAATAAGAAAAATTGTGTTACTCTTCTTGTGCTTTACTTGTTACTTTTTAAATAACATTTCGTTAATATTTATTCGCTTTTATTTTAAAGAACGTTATCGTACACATTCAAGAAGTTTTTAAGACGAAGATTTTAGAAGTTCGCCAGTTTCATGCAGTGCTATCAGTCTGTCATCTTCCAAAACGTGTCCTGTGAAACCTGCTTCTTAGAACATCATCTTAGCTGTGTTTGTTACAACTGAGGAAATCATCTTAGCTGTGGTTCTTGCAACTAAGGAAATCATCTTGACTATAATATCTGAGTCTGAGAAAATCATCTTTGTTGTGACATGTAAGTCTGATCCATAGAACATCAACTACTAGTGACTTCTAGATCAAAAAATCATCGTATTCAAGGTTCGGTCTGAGTTTTCACCTTGCTAGGTTGCCTTACAAGCTCCCTTGCGGTACCCTCTTTAGAAAATCATCGTACCCAAGGTTCGGCAACTTAATCACCTTTTAAGGTCACACCTGCAAGCTTCCTTGAATACGTTCTAAAAAGTTTTCCTCCTCATTAAGTTTCAGAAACAACTACATTTTTTTTTTTAGCCTAACGTTTATCCACTGAGTGAACAGAAATTTTACCTGATCTCAAACGTACTACATTGGAAGTATCGTGTTGATATGATCAAAACGCTAATAATTAAAATTCTTAAGACTACACTAATAAGCGCAATAACGTTATTCAATTTACTCATTAAAATATTAATTGGAAACTTATTCTTTACATTTGATTAATTAATATTTTTTGATAGCAGGGCATGGTTATGGAAACAATATTAAGATGAGAGTCAGTCATGTGAAGAAGTATGTTGATGAGCAGATGGAGCTCATCAAAATTATCAACGATGCCATCACCAACTTAACTCGTGTCGGAGAAGAAAATATTTCTCTTCAACTAGTGGAAGCTCGAAAAACGGCATTGCAAGAGTCTTGGAGCAAATTTTCTATCACTCTTGATGCAATAAAAATTGCAATAAGGCAATTAAGTGAAGATAAAAAGGAAGATGTATTAAAGCTTTCATATTCCAAGGACGACTTTTACCGTGCCGCCTACGATACTTATTTAGAAGCGTTGGAAAGGATGAATACTTTGTATGATCAACGAAATCAAGCCGAGATTAGATCATCGTTAACCAGTCATATAGAATTTCCTGTTCATCATTATGGGCCTCGTCTTCCAAGTCTGGATTTACCGAAATTTAATGGCGTTCCATCGGAATGGCTGCAATTCAAAGATATGTTTAACTCTATGGTCATCAATAATAGTTCCCTGTCTGCTATATGGAAACTTCATTATCTCAAGCAGAGCCTTACTAGTCCAGCAGCTGATTTCTTAAAAAATACGGCGTTAACAACTGACAATTTCCAAAGGTCATGGGATGCGCTAGTTTCATTCTACGAGAATAAGCAGTTATTGGTAAACTCCGCATTGCTATCATTATTGACGATGAAAAAGATGACAAAAGAATCTGCTGCGGAGATGCAAAGTCTGTATTCAACAATTATACAGATCTATCGAACTTTAGAGACACTCGGACGACCAGTGGAGACTTGGGATGATTTCTTGGTTTTTATTGCAGTTCAACGTCTGGATCAGGAATCGGTGAAAGCTTGGGAACTGCATTTGGGCTCAACTAAAGACCCTCCGACGTGGAAACAGTTTATGGAATTTCTCATAAGTCGTTTGTTAACTCTCCAAGCAGTTAAAAAATCGAGAAAGCCTGGTCCTCAGCACAATCCACGAGTAACTATGGTTCATTACGCATCTAGAGATCAGAATACTTCCAAGAAGGTTCAAATTGCACCGGAGATTACCATATACTTAAATGCCTAGCGTTTAGCAATCAACCAATTGAGAAAAAATTGGCAATCATCAAAGGAAAGAAATTATGCTACAACTGCTTAGGAAACCATATAGTTAAGGGTTCATTCTGGATCATCATTTTGAAAAAATCAATTTTGTTTTGCATTTTTCGAAAGTAGACATATGTAAAATTATCATACAAAAATTTTAGAACGATCCAAGCAGTTTAAGTATATTATTTTGCGATCAAAACATATAGAGCGAAAAAATTACAGATAGAGGAGACAAACCATCTGCGGTTGTGTAAGTGGAAATGTCTCTGCATGAATGTAGCTGCAAAAAACAAAAGGTTGATGTTGACCTGACAAAAACAGAATTACTTGAAAGATGTTTAGGTGGCCACACTCAAAATAATAATGGGTGCTTCAACAAATGCGTTTGGGCTATGGTGCCTAAACACCTATTTAATGGTAGAAAAAATTGTTGAAATAGCTTGTAAATTGGCAGCTTGTATATTCAACGAAGGTTTTGATCCAATACTGAAAATAATGCACGTTTTGGGGATAAAACTTGACCTATCGCAGTCAATTACGCTAGTAACCGCGACAACACGCGTGTGCGCTAGCCAATCGTTTGAGCGGAGAATCTTTGATAGAGGCCAGGACACAACGAAAAAAGACTAAAGDGGMAGAAAATRAGTATTTTGAAGAAGCAGAAGGCATACTATATGGTGCAGGCATCGCAAAATAAGGTAAAGTCAGACTTTTTACAAATTTGTTAAAAGAAACTTTAAACGCGTTTTTCTCGAAACAACGTTTTTTCAGTTGGCGGGCATGATATCTCTGAAATTACTCAACCGATCCTTCTGAAATTTTAACTACATACTCTAAACATGAATGGCTATCTCTGGTAGCATTCGAGCATGCTACAATCAAGTCAAAATATTAATTTTTACTATATTTTTTTTTACAAAAAAGTGCGAAAAAAATCAACGATTCTTTTTTTTCGAAAAATGACCGTCATTTTGTTTTGTTTTCATAAAAATTGATAGTTTTAGCATACCCGATAGCTATTGTCATACTGAATTTAAAACCGTTTAATTTTTTTGTTTTAGATCAACCGTTCTCAAATTTCAATGCCCGCCAACAGCATACCTACTTTTGAAGGGTTCACGTTTGTCAGCCATTTTAAATGTCAAAATATGTTAAAAACAATAAAAAAAATTTTTTTTCTCGTATTTCTAGAGTGTATTTATCATACCCAACAACTTTTATATAGATATACAAAGCCTAAAAAAAATCGTGAAAATAGCCTTTTTTCGGCGTAAGAACCAAAATGAATCCTTAATAAATGCATGTCAACAAAAAAGTGTATGAAGTGCGGGAAAAAGTATCATACAGCAATCCACAGACCTGGTCCGACGGAAGCATCTTCAACACTAAGTGTTCAAACCAATTTTGCATCACATTCGACTTTAATAGCTAATCAAACCCTGTTAGCCACCGCTCAAGTCAAAGTTATTTCCGAGCAAGGTTTCTAAGTCCAAGCAAGAGCATTAATAGATCCAGGATCACAAGTATCCTTTATATCTCAAAAACTAGTTCAGCAGCTTCATATGAATAAGAATCCAATAACATTTGAATTACATGGGATCGGCTCAGTGAGGGCTGGAAGAACTCAAGGTATCGTTACAGTTATTTTACGACCACACTTTGATTTTTCTTAACAGGTCATTCTACAAGCTCACATTCTTCCTAAGCTAACAGCGAGGATTCAATCCACTTCAAAATCTAACTGGAGTCATTTTCATAAGCTACAACTAGCAGATCCTAACTATAATCAACCGGGAAAAATTGACATCATCATCGGAGCAGATTATTATGGTCAAATATGCCTAGAAGGGCTACGAAAAGGCCCAAGTAATACTCCTACAGGTCAATCAACTATTTTCAGATTGATTCTTTTCGGGCCCACTGGTAATCTTCCAACCTCTTGAAACAGTGTTTTCACACGTCTGTTGATGAACTCCACCAGCTCATAAAGAGATTTTGGCAACTAGATGATATTCCAGTTAATAATACCTCTTCTTTGACACCAAATGACCAAGAGTGTGAAGATCATTTTAAAAAAACACATTCTCGAGATAATACTGGCCGCTACATCGTTAGATTACCATTAAGAAAACCAGTTCAATCCATTGGAGAATCAAAAAGTGCAGCTTATCGAATGTTATTGACCATATCTAAGCAACTTTTAAGAGATTCGTCATTACGAGCGGCTTACTATGAATTTATGTATAAATATCAAAGCTTACAACATATGAGTATAGTAACTGAGTCCTCTGCTGAACCTAAGCACTGCTATTACTTACCTCACCATGGGGTAATACGAGATTAAAGTTTGACTACCAAATTACGAGTCGTTTTCAATGCATCCTGCAAAACTTCAAGCGGATTATCATTAAACGACATTCTTCACACTGGACCTAAATTGCAGACTGAATTAATAGATGTACTCTTACGGTTCCGCTTTTTTAAGTATGTTTTCATCTCGGATATTGAGAAAATGTACCGACAGATCAAGGTACATTCTGATGACTGGAATTTCCAAAGAATTCTGTGGAAGGATGAGAACGGTGAATTTATTATTTATCAACTAACAACTGTTACCTATGGAATGGCTTGCGCTCCTTTTCTGGCACTACAGCAGTGCAACAGCTAATTGAAGATGAAGGATCAAAGTATCCTCTAGTTATATCAACTCTAACTGAAGGACGATACGTTGATGATATCTTTGGTGGTGCAGATTCCATCCAAGAAGCACAGGAAACAGTGGAAACAGGAAACTCTGCATGGCGGGCGGTTTTCCTCTTAAAAAATGGATAAGCAATCATCTTTCGATTCTTCAATCAATATCTTCTTCTGATCAACTTCTTGCTTCGTCAGTAACCATCGACAAAAATACCGTCGTACATGCACTGGGCATGAATTGGAGTCCAATCACTGATGAATTCCAGTTCACATGGAATGTTCCCGTCTATTCGAAAATTACTAAACGTACTATTCTTTCAACTATTGCCAAGTTCTTCGACCCACTTGGACTACTATCACTAGTAATAATCAATGCAAAAATCTTTATTCAACAACTTTGGACTAATCAGCTTGACTGGGATGACCCATTGTCTACAGAACTTTCCATTCAGTGGAAAAATTTGATTAAAGTTTTCAAGAGATGAACTTGATGTCAATTCCTCGCTGGCTTCAAACGTCCCACAGCAATCCCTGTGAAATTCATGGGTTCTGTGATGCGTCTCAGCAAGCTCTTGCCGCTGTAATCTATGTAGCCTCAAAAGACTCAAGTGACAAAATTTATACTGTGTTATTGTGCTCAAAGACTAAAGTTGCTCCCATCAAACGATTAACGATTCCTCGATTAGAATTATCAGCCGCTGTAATGCTCACAAAATTAGTTCATCTTGTCCTTCAAAAGTTCGAAGTTAATAAACCTTCAGTTCATCTTTGGACAGACTCAGCAATCACACATATTTGGATAAATGCCCATCCATCTCGGTGGAAAGAATCTATTCATAATAGAGTTTGCTTAATTCAAGAAACGCTCCCTACAGCTAAATGGCATTATGTACCAGGAAAAGATAATCCTGCAGATTGTGCTACACGAGGACTTACCCCAACCAAACTGGCTAAACATCATATCTGGTGGGCTGGTCCAGAATGGCTTCAACAACCTTCTTCTACATGGCCCACTACTTCAACAATCCTAGAAGTGAACGACGAACTAGAAGAACGTCCAATTAAAGTGAACACTACAACTATAAAAATATCTGAATCATTCGGAAATTTGATTCTAAAGTATCACGATTTTATGCGACTTCTTCGCATTACTTCACTTTGCAAAAGATTTCTCCTAAGACTGCAAAACAAAATGGGAAATATTACAACTGAACTAATCACTGTCCAAGAGCTGAACGATGGTAAATTTTACTGGGTTCATTTAACTCAACAAGCAGCCTTCAGTCAAGAAATCAGACAATTATCAAGAGGGGAACATTTATCAAATTTCAATCTTCGTCTTAAAAACTTCTTGAATGTGTACGATAACGTTCTTTAAAATAAAAGCGAATAAATATTAACGAAATGTTATTTAAAAAGTAACAAGTAAAGCACAAGAAGAGTAACACAATTTTTCTTATTTAATGTAGAGAACAGCTTTTTCACAACCGATATCGACTAGAATGGTTTTGCATATGAAAACAACTAAACAGCTGATTACGATCTTTTTTTTTTCTTAACATCTCAATTCATTCATAAACAACTAACGTTTTATTGATTAGCAACTAACATCTTAGCAACCGAAAACTTATTGATTAAAATTTAAATCTCATTGATTAACAGCTGACTGACTGTTCTCCGACTACTCAATCCGCGTCTCTTTAATATTTCGTCCCTTTAATTTTTTTTTTATTTTTATTCTAGAACAAACTTTAAACATTATGAAATCGGATTTTTTTGACTGACAAATTTTTCTATGATGCATTTTATCTGCAAACAAACTTTGGATTACTAAAAAATGTAAAATTTTGAGGTAAAATTTAGCTTGTAACTTTATTGAATGTAAGTAAAAGGATTTTTTTAGTAAAGATACGAAAAATTACAAACATATTAGCATCAAATTCTTGTAAACCTTAAAATTTTTCTTTAATGCAGTCAAGCAAGAAACAAAAATTTATTATCTGCGAAAATAAATACATTTATAATAAACAAATTATAGAGTTTTGAAAAATTGTACAATTTTAATCTAGCATTTAGCTTGTAATATTATCGACTTTAAATCACACGAATTTTTTTTAGTAAAGATAAAGAATAATGCAACATTATAGACTCAGATTTTTGTAATCCTAAAAACTTCTCATTAATGCAGTCAAGCAACAAACAAAAATTTATTATCTGCGAAAATTAAATAAATTTTAAACATAATTAATGTAATTTAATTTATTTTGTATCATAAGAAAC